TCGATTGTGAGTTTTGAATTTTTGGATCTTGACTTCAAACTTAGCATGAATCAATCTTCGCGCGGGTGCTTTGATTCCCCTTGTAGAGCTTGCATCGCCCAAACAATCTGATTTATGAGAGAGCATCACTGGTAACAATCTCCTTTTCAGCTATGGAAGACTAGACTAAACTTATTCTTTTTTTTCCCTCAAGCGGCTATTTAAGTAAGCACTTCGATAAAATTGCAGTATATTTTTATTTTTAATATAAGAAATTGGTAACTGCGAAAGTTGGCGTCCCGAAGCATTGCTAAACCATGGAAAAGAGATCAAAGCCTCAAGACATCAATTCAAAAAGTTAACGACCCAGCAACAAAAATGACAAAGCATCAACAATTTTATGAAACATTCGGAAATGGCATGGCGATGAAACTCTCTAAAAAAACAAAAGCCGTCCCGAAGCATTGCTAAACTATAGTAAAGAGTTCAAAGCTTGAGACATCAATTCAAAAAGTTAACGACCCAGCAACAAAAATGACAAAGCATCAACAATTTTATGAAACATTCGGAAATGGCATGGCGATGAAACTCTCTAAAAAAACAAAAGCCGTCCCGAAGCATTGCTAAACTATAGTAAAGAGTTCAAAGCTTGAGACATCAATTCGAAAAGTTAACGACCCAGTAACAAAAATGACAAAGCATCATTGATTTTGTGAAACATTCGGAAATGGCATGGCGATGAAACTCTCTAAAAAAACAAAAGCCGTCCCGAAGCATTGCTAAACTATAGTAAAGAGTTCAAAGCTTGAGACATCAATTCGAAAAGTTAACGACCCAGTAACAAAAATGACAAAGCATCATTGATTTTGTGAAACGTTCGGAAATGGCATGGAGATGAAACTCTAAAAAAAAACAAAAGCCGTCCCGAAGCATTGCTAAACCATGGAAAAGAGATCAAAGCCTCAAGACATCAATTCAAAAAGTTAACGACCCAGCAAACAATTTGACAAAGGATCAATAATTTCATGAGACGTTCGGAAATAGCATGGCGACAAAATTCAAAAAAAGACAAAAGCATCCGCATAAAGCAGAAAACTCGATTCTTTCCCTCTGATGCATTTTTATACGATTGGTCTCAGCATTTCTTCGCAGAGTCAAGCGCTGTTCGAGTGAAGTCGATTTGAAGAAGTGCTAATGCACTGCAAGAGCAAGTTTGCGCCATATTCTTTGTTTTTCATACAATACCGCTCATAATTCGTCAAAAAAGTCGCCGAACGGTGGCGCACTTCGGCGCACTCCGCTGCTCTCTTGTACTGCGGCGGAAGGGCGACTTTTTAACGAGTTATGAGCGGTATGGTATGTCAAACTATTCATGAAGTTGTGAAGGCATGTAGTCGCCAAAACATGTGATTTAAATTCCAAATTATCTCTTCCTTGAACCTGGGCTGTACTCATTCTAAGTTATTTTGTGCCAGATCTAGGTTAGTACGGTGGTATCGTTTATTGACCTTACTTTTCAACAAAGTCGTCGTCTTCGGAGATCCGAAGTAGAGTGCAGTTACTCATCTGCGAGATAAGACCTCATATGAATTTTGGGTTGGCGTAACAAGATCAGTAAGGCTGGATAAGAAACTTATTAGCAGGCTAAAGCTAGAGAATCCTGTTTGCCCAGTCTAATACCTGGTAAAGACGCTCAAAATAACACCGAGCGAGCTCCACTCCATGTCTGCGACTACTTTTGAGGTACGTCCGATAATAAGCTGTGTTGGCTGACGCACGGATCGATTAGCATGGCTTCTCAATAGGATTGAAAGCCAGTTGCTCCCGAAGTTCCCTCTATGGCGCACTATATGTTGGTGAAACGGGTAGAATGTTAGAAGTTATAATCAAACAGCACTTAGCGAATAAAAGGCGAGCGAGTGCGTTGCCATCGTTAGGAAAGCATAGAATAGAACTACATAATGACGGTGATTTTGATGTAAATTGCACATTTTTATTATACGAAGCAGAGATTATAGCACGAAAAGCTATGGAAGCAGCATGAATTCTGTCAGAAATCCATGCAGAATAACAAAAATGAAGGCTTATCGACGACCGAACTCTTGCCATTCTTGATATGTAAGCTACAGCCTGCACATATATAAAGATCATTCTGCTGAGCAACGCTCAGTGTCGCCCGTCTACTTTGTGCGTCTACTGACTAACTCACTAACACCGCGGTGGAACATAGGTCAGTTTCTACTACATCAGCATGTGACTCAGTACGTTGTCCTCGAGACGAAATCCAGGCTGACAGACGTTTGGGGATTGGTTAGGCGGTCTTATCTCGCAGATGAGTAACTCAATCTACTTCAGATCTACGAAGGCGACGACTTTGTTGAAAAGTAAGTCAATAAACGATACCACCGTACCAACCAGGGCCCGGCAGGAGGTGGCATTTCAGAATTATGAAAACGATATTCCTTTTGAAGCCAAAATTTCTTACGACTTCCCCTTTGACCCTATTTTTGACCCCCGTAAGTCCCTGACAAACAGATATACACAAATAATAAGATGGGCGGCCTCTGCGCTTATTATAGTAGCACTACCTGGCTTTCCTGGTCCAGCCTTGGTCATCGTTTGAGGGGATGGCCAAAAACCACACTTTGTCCTTCTACCTTCCCGTCCTTTTGGGCCGTATTCTCCACCCCTTTTCCGCAGCATCAGTACTGCACTGCAGCCCTCCCCTTACCCTCCTGCACGAGCTTACCTCAGAAAGGCTTATTGGAGTGACACCTTCTAATTTTAAAGTGGAAATGAACTTCATTGCATTGTTCACACCAAAATGTGCAAGCAGTTTGTTAGCGACTGGTAAGTGTTCACTTTCCTTGCAAGGTGCCAAAAATCATTAAATCGATAGAAGAATTCCACGAATTGCTTCGAAGGGTAGCTTAAAACCATCTACCGTGGCCGAAATTGCGATTGGAGCGAGCTTTCCGAGGACGATCATAAAGCTGTGAACCTTTGGGGCTGTATCGAAGCGATGCCTTAGTGGTTTTGGAAGCGGATGTGAACATATAGTAATGCTCTCGACCTAGTCCACATTTATGTAAAGAAATCCGGGAAATTATGCGAAGGGAAGCAGTGAGCCACCCCAGGTTGCTCCCAGGTGGCGCGGGAGCCACCTAATTTCGAAAAATACTTACTAAATTTTAAATCCACATAAGTTTCTCATAATTCTTCATAGTTTTTTGTGCTTATGGTCCTCCAACTACACAGCAAATTTGGTGCCATATCGTTACTTGTGCATTGAAAACGAGCCTATTTTGTTATTTTCCTCTTGCAAGAATTGCGATTTGAATTCCCGCCTGGCCTGCGGGCAGGCTAGCGATCGGAGCACAGAATCTTCACATTGCTGGAATCTAAGTTCATAGGATAATAGCATGAACAAGGAATGATGAATTTGGGCTCCCCCCGGACCCCCTTTGCTTTTTCGGGCCAAAAACGATATACAGCTTGTGAAAGCGCAACCCCCGCCGGGCCCTGATACCAACCCAGATCTGGCACAAAATAACGTAGAATGAGTACATCAAGATGCCCAGGTTCAAAGAAGAGATAATTTGGAATTTAAATCACATGTTTTAGCGGCTACATGCCTTCACAACTGCATGAAAAGTTTGACATACCATCTTATATATAAAGCTGAATGTCTGTATGTCTGTCTGTATGTCTGTCTGTCTGTACGTATGTGCGGAATAGAAATTTTTATTTCTGAACCGATTCGGACCAAACTTGGCACACATATACTTCGGGGCAGGGAGCGTGTCATAGGCTACTTTTCGTTATCGATCGATATCGATTTTATCGATTTTATCGATTTTTTGTAAAGTTTGAGCTACGGGGCTTGGATTTGGCACAGGGGGGGTGGTCGAGCATGCTGATTACGAATACAATATCAGTTTTTAGAATTATTCATTACTTTTATCGATTTTATCGATTTTTTGCAAAGTTTCAGCTACGGGGCTGGGAGTTGGCACAGGGGGGTAATCGAGCATGCTGATTACGAATACAATATTAGTTTTTAGAATTATTCATTACTTTTATCGATTTTATCGATTTTTTGCAAAGTTTCAGCTACGGGGCTGGGAGTTGGCACAGGGGGGTAATCGAGCATGCTGATTACGAATACAATATTAGTTTTTAGAGCTATTCATTACTTTTATCGATTTTATCGATTTTTTGCAAAGTTTCAGCTACGGGGCTGGGAGTTGGCACAAGGGGGTGCTCGAGCATGCTAACTACGAAGGTTACATACTGTTTATGAAAGTAACATTTACGGATGGGTGGAATTATCAACTTAGCTCAGGTACCTCAAACTTGGGTAATCAAACCACTCAAAAGACTGGTTTGATTACCCAAGTTTGAGGTACCTGAGGTGTGACGAAATAGTATGACGTCACTGTGACGTCACAGCGCTGGCTTCACGTCATGTGACGTACCTCAAACTTGGGTAATTAAACCGTTGAAGCCAGAGCTGTGACGTCACAGTGACGTCATAGTATTTCTCAGACTTCAGGTACCTCAAACTTGGGTAATTAAACCGTTGAAGCCAGAGCTGTGACGTCACAGTGACGTCATAGTATTTCTCAGACTTCAGGTACCTCAATCTTGGGTAATTAAACCGTTGAAGCCAGAGCTGTGACGTCATTCACATGACGTCAGGTACCTCAAACTTGGGTAATTAAACCGTTGAAGCCAGAGCTGTGACGTCATTCACATGACGTCAGGTACCTCAAACTTGGGTAATTAAACCGTTGAAGCCAGCGCTGTGACGTCACAGTGACGTCATAGCATATCGTCAGACTTCAGGTACCTCAAACTTGGGTAATTAAACCGTTGCCAGAGCTGTGACGTCACAGGTGCTGGCCGCAATGGTGAGGTCACATGACTATGACGTCACACGTCACGGGACGGCCACGCCCTCCCGAGGCGGTATATAAACCGGCCGGGCCCGGTTGAGTCCGCATTTGAAGATAGCAATCATGGACTTTGGCGATTATTTTGTGAGAGTTGATAGCAGAAGGCTACTTGCCTGTATAGTGGAGTACAGAGATGACATATTTGTCATCAACAAGAAAGCCATGATGGAGCTCCTCGGACTTGGCACCCGAGGAGCTGAGGCGTCACCGCCTCAAGAGGCGGTGATGCCTCGAGAGGCGGCGACGCCAGAGGCGTCGAAGACGTTGCTGAAGGTAGGAAGGAATTTCAAATTTGTGCGCGGCAAAAATAATCTGTGCATTTACAGGAAATTCCCACGAACACCGTCCGACTGAGGAGGAGGTGGTGGCGTGAGCGGGCGCCGGCGGCGATCCCCCTTGCCAAGGGGGATCAGGCGCCAACGCGCAAGCGCACTGCCCCGCTTGCGCTGCCGGCGCCCAAACGCCCCCTCCAAAGAACGGGCCGAAGGAAGGACTCGCAATGGTGCCAGAAGAAGAAGATCAGTGCAGCATCGCGTAGATATTCCGAGTATTTTGTGCTGTATTAACAGTTTTCCTGAAGTTGAAGTATATTTTTGTATTTTTGTATGATTGTAGATTTTGTATTTTTGTAGATTTTTTGAGGTGAGGCTCGCCTGTCCTTCGGACAATTTCACCCCTTTGTGAGGGGTACACAAATTGTCCGAAGGACAGGCGAGCCTCACCTTTTTCTGTTATTATGTGTAAAATTGTGCGTAAAATTCACTCAAAAATAAAGCAAAAAATCTTATAAATCCGTGTTTGAATTATCCGGAGCATTGCACAAGACGTCGCCGTCGCAGCGCTGGGTTCGATGGTTTAATTACCCAAGTTTGAGGTACCTGAAGTGTAACGAAGTACTATGACGTCACTGTGACGTCACAGCGCTGGCTTCAACGGTTTAATTACCCAAGTTTGAGGTACTTGAAGTCTAACGAAGTACTATGACGTCACTGTGACGTCACAGCGCTGGCTTCAACGGTTTAATTACCCAAGTTTGAGGTACTTGAAGTGTAACGAAGTAATATGACGTCACTGTGACGTCACAGCGCTGGCTTCAACGGTTTAATTACCCAAGTTTGAGGTACTTGAAGTGTAACGAAGTAATATGACGTCACTGTGACGTCACAGCGCTGGCTTCAACGGTTTAATTACCCAATTTTGAGGTACCTGAAGTGTGACGAAATACTATGACGTTACAGTGACGTCATAGTATTTCGTCACCATCGGCACCGCCCCTCGAGTTGATGTGACCAATCACAGCGGTCGCTCCGCCCCCTCAAAGGGGTATATAAGGCGGCCAAGTCAAGCGTCAGTCATTCACTAAGTCACTCCAAGCTAGCGGACGGTCGACAGGTCCAGTGCCCATTACTGCCGACCATTGAGCGATATCAGCTTTGCTGGCAATAAGTGTGTGTTTAGTGTTTTGCAAAGAGTAACTATTCCAATTGTGCAAAATGCCGCCTAAGAAGCGAGCATGCATTGGAAGAGTGGACCCCAACACCAAGAGGGTCAGAGATCAGAGAGAGGCTGAGACCGCAGAGCAGCGCCGGGATCGATTGGAAGGCAATCGGGCGAGAATAGCGGAAGCGAGAGCGACGCAAACGCTGGAACAGCGTGAAGAAAGTCTCTCAGAAACTCGCTTGAGGCTTGCTGCTCTGAGAGCCTCAGAGTCACAAGAAAGCCGTGACTCTCGACTAGAAGACGATCGAGCGAGACATGCTGGAGCCAGATCTCAGGAGACGGCTGAACAGCGCGAATTTCGACTCGAAGACGATCGAGCGAGACATGCTGGAGCCAGATCTCAGGAGACGGCTGAACAGCGCGAATTTCGACTCGAAGACGATCGAGCGAGACATGCTGGAGCCAGATCCCAGGAGACGGCTAAACAGCGCGAATTTCGACTCGACGATATGCGGTCGAGGAATGCTGAAGCCAGATCTCAGGAAACGGCTGAACATCGAGAGTCTCGACTCGAAGGCGATCGAGCGAGACATGCTGGAGCCAGATCTCAGGAGACGGCTGAACAGCGCGAATTTCGACTCGAAGACGATCGAGCGAGACATGCTGGAGCCAGATCTCAGGAGACGGCTGAACAGCGCGAATTTCGACTCGACGATATGCGGTCGAGGAATGCTGAAGCCAGATCTCAGGAAACGGCTGAACAGCGAGAGTCTCGACTCGAAGGCGATCGTGCTCGACAAGTCCGCACTCGACAGACATCTAGGCGAGTAGATCTTCACCTGGCGGCACTCAATTACGATGCCCAGGTCGACTACTCGACCCATCCGAAGGTACAGATCGGAAATATGGATGTCGTATGTGGCAAGTGTCAAGCCAGAAAGTTCAGAGCCGAACCTCCTGGCATGTGCTGTTCTAGCGGCAAAGTCGACATTCCGCCTCTACTTCAGCCGCCTGAGCCCCTCCGCTCATACATGTCCGGCACAAGTGCTGTGTCCAGGCATTTCTTGCAGAACATCAGGAAGTACAATGCGTGCTTCCAGATGACGTCCTTTGGCACTACAGTCGCCACGCCCGACGTTGAGGAACAGGGCTTCATGCCAACGTTCAAGGTGCAGGGACAGGTCTATCATAGAGTTGGATCCCTGCTTCCTAATGGCAATGATAGCCTCAAGTTCTTGCAGCTGTACTTCGTCTGCGACGAGCAGCTGCAAGCGGACCAACGTTGCGGCATCATTGGTGGCACAAGGCCGGACGTCGTGCTAGAGCTGCAGAGAATGCTACATCAGCACAACGACCTGGTGAAGGACTTCAAGACCAACCTGGAGCAGATGCCTACAGACGAGTATAAGGTCGTTATCCGTGCTGACAAGCGACCTGCTGATCAGCATGAACGACGCTACAACGCTCCATCTGTAAACGAGGTGGCGGTAGTCTTGGTAGTTGGAGACGACTGCGACAGGCGTGACATTATCATCCAAAAACGTGGCGATTCGTTGCAGCGCATCTCTGAAACCCATAGGTCGTACGATGCCCTGCAGTACCCACTCATGTTCTGGAAGGGGGAAGACGGGTATCACTTCGAACTATGGTAGCGAAATCCTAGCACTGGTACTCCTACCAATAAGAAGGTATCGGCTATGGATTTCTATGCGCATCGAATGATGATAAGGTCCACCTCCTTTAACCATGTTGTGAAATGTCGCCAACTATTTCACCAATTCATCGTGGACATGTACGCCAAGATCGAGGGTGAACGGCTCCTGTTCATTCGACGCAATCAGCGAAAGCTACGTGCAGACGAATATATCCACCTACGGGATGCCGTGGCCGAAGATGGAAATGTCAGTGACCTTGGGCAGATGGTCATACTACCATCCTCCTTCACTGGCGGCCCACGCCACATGCATGAGTACACTCAGGACGCCATGACCTATGTTAGAGTTTACGGCCGCCCTGATCTGTTCATCACGTTTACATGCAACCCAGCGTGGACCGAAATTGCGGAAGAGCTCTTCCCTGGTGAAGCGCCTTCTGACCGCCACGACATCACGGCGAGGGTCTTCAAACAAAAGCTTAAAAAGCTTATGGACGTGCTAACCAAAAGCCACGTCTACGGAGAAACTCGCTGTTGGATGTACACCGTGGAATGGCAGAAACGCGGTCTTCCGCATGCCCACATTTTAGTGTGGTTGAAGGAGAAGATTCGCCCAGATCAGATTGACAGGATCATCTCAGCGGAGCTTCCCAATCGAGAAGAGGATCCTCTTTTGTTCGATGTTGTCCTCAAAAATATGATCCATGGGCCATGTGGACCACTAAACCCGAGGTCGCCTTGCATGAAGGACGGCAAATGCACAAAGAGGTACCCTCGGCAGCTGATCCGCTAAACCCAAACGGGAAGAGACGGTTATCCCCTTTACAGAAGGCGAAAACCAGATGAAGGAGGACATACCGCTGTCGTTAGGATGAGGATGGACCATCAGTCTGTGGACGTTGAGGTTGACAACAGCTGGGTGGTGCCATACACTCCCTTACTCTCGAAGATGTTCAAGGCACATATTAATGTAGAGTACTGTAATTCGGTAAAGTCGATTAAGTACGTCTGCAAATATGTGAACAAGGGATGTGACATGGCAACATTCGGCCTCGAGCATGCCACTGCACCGTTTGATGAGATCGAACGATATCAAACGGGCAGGTACATAAGCAGCAACGAGGCAGTGTGGCGCATTTTGGGTTTCCAAATCCACGAGCATTATCCACCCGTTGTTCACTTGAGTGTCCATCTAGAAAATGGACAACGCGTCTACTTTACGGCTGATAATGCGCGGCAAAGAGCTGCGCAACCACCTCAGACGACTCTCACAGCATTCTTCCCTCTGTGCGAACACGATGCATTTGCACGGACTTTGTTGTATTCAGAAGTTCCAAAGTATTATACTTGGAACAATTCAACAAAGAAGTGGGCCAGAAGAAAGCAAGGTGCTGAAGTTCCCGGACAACCTGGCATACGTGCTGCGGATGTTTTAGGACGTGTATATACTGTACACCCTAAGCAGCCGAGTGCTTCTACCTCAGAATGTTGCTCCACACAATCCGAGGTCCGACGTCATTCGCAGTATTGAAGACAATCGACGGAGAAGACTGTGGGACCTACAGAGAAGCATGCCGAAGATTGGCTTGCTTCAGGATGATCAGCAGTGGGACCGGACTCTCGAGGAGGCATCTGCGACAGGTTTCGCTGCTCAGCTAAGAAGTCTCTTCGCTATCATCTTGACGGCCTGTCAACCATCAAATCCTTAAGCACTTTGGGAGAAGTACAAGGAAGCTCTGAGTGAAGATATACTCAGAGAATGTCGCAGAGCAGCACCCTCTGCAGACATCGACTACTCTCCCGAGATATTCAACCGAGCGTTGATACTGCTTGAGGACATGTGCACGTCGATGACCGGTCAAACTCTTAAGGATCTCGGTTTGACGCCACCAATACGCGGAGATGACCAAGCACTTGAGAGCGATGTTCTCCGAGAGAGGTCCTATGATGTCAATCAGCTGTCGAGATTTGTAGAGTCCAACAGACCCCTCCTCACGGAGGATCAAGAGTTAGCATACCGCGTTGTTCTGGACACGATTTCCAGTGGCAAGGGTGGGCTACTCTTTCTCGACGCTCCAGGTGGAACAGGGAAAACGTTCCTCATCAATCTCCTACTTGCCGAGATTCGCAGACAAGGAGGAATCGCACTAGCAGTGGCATCCTCAGGAATTGCATCAACACTGCTAGAAGGAGGCCGAACTGCTCATTCAGCCTTCAAGCTTCCTCTGGATATTGCTCATGTAGAGCACCCAGTGTGTGGGATAAGCAAAGGCACAGGGAAAGCCAAGGTGTTACAAGAAACCAAACTCATAGTATGGGACGAATGCACCATGGCGCATAAGAAGTGCCTAGAAGCCCTTGACAACACACTACGGGACCTACGAGGAAGCGACGGGGTGATGGGTGGGGCCGTCGTGCTACTGGCAGGCGACTTTCGTCAAACTCTGCCAGTGGTTCCGCGATCGACTCCAG